TATATATATATGTGTGGAAATATATTAAATAAAAATTAGCTTAATTATATAAATGATTAATAACCAGAGGAAATTATGGCCACGCCGAATAATTAATTTTACAAGGAAATATTTAATGAGCCAAGAGCGTCATGTTGTCATGTGTCATGTTGACAGAATCTCCTCGTGGTGTAAAACGGTGTTTAAACATTCTAACGCTGAGTCACAGGAATGCTGCTCCACCATCTGAGGGACGTACAGCGCGATCCTGGTGTGAATTAAAGGGGTATGGGCGCGGGGTAGACAAACATTTTAATTAGCAGTCAACACCTGTAATTGTCTGGGACTCTTAAACAAACATTTTAATTAGCAGTCAACACCTGTAATTGTCTGGATAAATGTGCGTAATGTCGATGCCGGTGCCAGTGGGTCAGGGTTTCAGAGGTGGATGTGGTGTGGAGATGTGTAGCTGCGCGGCTGCTTTGGCTTCACTTTCATTTCTGCTGTTGCGGTTCACTGCGTTACTCGAAGATAAATGTTTTCCCTGAAAAGGTGTGTGACTTCAGCCTCTGATAAGACATAATAAAAGGAAGGAGTGAAGGTTTCAGTATTACTGATCATGGTGACCTGGCTGACCTTCACAGGTGATATTTTCCCCAACACTTAGCTGAATTCAGGATTATCTATTCAATAAATCAGACTTGGATCTGCCTTCCTGTTCTGCGAATTCAGGATTATCTATTCAATAAATCTGCCTTCCTGTTCTGTTGTCAGTGGTTTCATTCATGTGATTATGAGTGAAACAATTTAACCTTTCACTTTGATGGCAACACTGGTTTAAATATTGCCGAGGATGCAGAAAGGCCGGTTTGAGGAGGTGTGTTCTAAGGTGTTCTCCCAAGCACATTGGTGTAAGCTTGATGAAGGGCGTTCCATTGTCGAGGACAAGCAGCACCGGTCCCTGTTGTTCACAGTGTGGAGCCTGGAGGCTGGAATGGAGAGGAGGTGGCCGTGATGAGCACTCTGAACAACATGGTATGTAGGGCTGAACGGTAACGTGTGGTGCTGGGATTCATGGTGGTCAGCTGTGTCACGGGAAGCTTTTAGTCCAAGGTTAGAAAAAAAAAAGGGAACTTTTAGCCATCGTTGAGTGACATCGTCATCGACGCTGTTTGACCTACAACAACTGAGGTTCTGAGGTTTGAGTTTTCTCTGCAGTGACTCCAGTGTGAATTTTTGTCAGATTTCGCCACAGGGTGTTAAATGATTGGTAGTGTTTTAAGTTTGATGATGTTGTGTGCGTTCTTCTTAACAAATTAGCCTGAAGCCACAGTGAGAAAATGAAACTGTTGTTTGTGTGTAGTAATGAAAGTACTCTCTGACCACGATACTTTCATCTGCCTTATTTACTCTTCCTGTTGATGTCGCACAGCTGCACACAGCTGAACGCATGACATGACAGATCGAGTGGTCCGTCACAGCGAGTGACTCTCGTGGTTGGTGTGAATGAGTGTTTTACACACACACACACACACACACATAATGTGTCAATATGCCAACAACAACAAAAAAAACAACTCATTCCTGGGCTTTCGTGTTTGCCTTCAAACACCTTATTTACTTTAAAAAAATAATTGTTTAAAACCGTCAACTGTTTGTCCAAGGATTTAGTAAAAAAAAAAAAAAAAAAAAAAATTACAATTGCACGTACAGATGTCAAAACGAGGAGTGACTGAGGTGCTTTCATTCCAAATTAAAAGTTTGGAATGTAAGTTAAAGCAGGGCGAGGTTAACGATGACGGTAATGACAGTAAAGTGCCGTGCTTTTGTTTTCATGTGTGTGTGTTTGTTTTTTTTGTTTCTTTTTTTGCCCGAACATGAAACACGTTGGAGAGAAGTCCCTGCTTTTTTTTGCCCGAACTTGAAACACGTTGGAGAGAAGTCCCTGCATCGTTGGGACGCTGCGGCTGCGGTTTTTCATACGTCATCCATAGAAAAAAAACCTCACAGTATCTTTTCTTTATGTCTTTTTTTCTCCTTGTGCGTCGTTTCTGCCCCAACGTTTCACCCTCTGTTACTGATCAGCCTTTCAGCTGAGCTCCTCTTTTCTCTTCATTCAAACCACATTGACCAGAACATATTTTGTTGTGAAACTTCATTATTTGCCACATGCAAAAACTACAATAACGTTCACTCGGACACTCTTTTCCAGCCACTACATTTTTAAACAAAAATCTCTTTCTCTCTTCAATCAGTTCATCATTGACGAAAGATGAAAAATAAAACTGCAGCCAGCCTTTAAACTTTTCAAAAACCAATTTATACATGTAATACACAGACATATATATTTATATATATATGTTTTTATGTATGTTTTTTTGTTATTCCAACCCGTGGACCTTCTCTGGAGTCCTGATCAACATCTTAACCGGTGAAATGTGTATCATAACATCTCTGTTCTTTGTCTCTCCTCCAGATTCAACCGTATGAAAAGATCGCAGCGCGGGGTCTGCCCGACAACATGGCCGAGTCCCTGAACAAGTTGGTGGTGGTGAAGTTGAACGGAGGCCTCGGCACCAGCATGGGATGCAAGGGTCCCAAGAGTCTGATCAGTGTCCGGAATGAGAACACCTTCCTGGACCTCACGGTGCAGCAGATAGAGGTACCTGAACCACGGGTTGACTTAGTTTACAGCTTCAGAATTTAGTTTCAGATTATGCTTTTCATGAATGACGTCTTTGACGGATTTCTGTAGCTTTACTGGAAGCTCAACACAAGGTCAAAGGCTGTGACATTTTTATTTTATCAATCAAATATTGTGTAATTATCAACGTAGGCAGAGGAAAAACCCACAAAAAACCCCACATTAGTTAGTCATCAGAAATCCTGAGAGGACTAACTCTGTCTGTAATGATGACATGTTTGTTGTGATGATCCCACGGAGAAATTTCACCCTCCTGCATTCCTTCGCTTCATGACTATTATATCCAGTTTGTTTCGAAGGTGTTGCCCAGAGGAAGGGTTATCAAGTGACAAGAAACACGATTCTGGACAAAATGTCTCTGTCTGTCCAAGGGCTGTTATATACATGTATATACATATACATGTATTTATATATATGTGTGTGTGTATATATATATATATACACATATATATATATAGTTATTATTATTATTATTTATTCTCAGCTCTGTATTGAGTTGGGATTGTATTTCATTGGTGTAATTTAAGGTGTAATGTAAGCTTTAGACCAGTGGTGCTATGAATCACCCTGTTAGAGATACACGTGCAGGTCACGACAACTCCACTGTGAACTCTGTAAACAAGGCTCCAGACAAACCTGGGCTGGAGTTACTACTGATCTTAAACGTTTCCACCCCGGTCACTTCAAAGTGACTGAACGTCATTAGTGTGAGACAGCACCAAGCTGGTATGATTGCATTCCTGACATCTTTTTTTAGCTTTGACCCTACATTCAAACGTTAGGCCGCGTCACAGCATTGTAGCAGAAGAGGAATCGGTGCCAGAACTCAGCAGCAGCAGCTTCTAAACAAACAGAAAGGATTAATGGTAGGGATTAATCAACGCTATAAATTAAATAAAAGTTTTATTACTACTAACAAAAGATAATTAGCGTAAATTTACTGCAAATAATAAAGGCTAAACATCTGCCTGAGAGCTTAGCTGCTCAGGCATGACTTCTGTAAAAAAAAAAAAAATTATAAGAGCAAATAGAGACTCAGAGTTGTTGTGTCTTTCTTCAGTTCCTGTCAGTGTACAGTGGCAGCTCTGTGTTCAACTAAACAGGCCCAGGTTTCCCACTAAGTAAAACTAGGTCATATTTCCCGACAGGTACTTTTTGTGACATTTCTGTTCTGGTTCGTCGCCTTGTGATGTTTGTAATGATGTAAAAAAATGACATAAAATCCATTCACAACAGAATGCGAGACAAAGGTCCAAATGCAGTACGGTCAACGTTCGTGTCGTGTCAAAGCCAGTTTGCTTTGATCTCCTGATGTGAGACAAATGTTCCATTTTCTCGCACTCTAATCAGAGAGAGTTGTTTTTTTTTTGTTGTTTTTTTTATTGGAAAGTACCAGCAACAGAAAGGGCCAGAGAAAATGTGTTGGTCAGATGATTTCATGGCGGACAGCTGCCGCCCACTTACTCATACAACAGGCTACTATGACTTCATGAATGTAAGGCACCAGGGCAGAGACATACACAGACTTGTATTTTTATTTATTTTTTTAAGCGAAGAGTGCTTCTGAAAGGAGTCCAGTGTGACACCGTGGGGGAGTAGTCTCAGTGAAAGGGGATCTGTTGGTGTGCAGGTCCGTGGGGTTGGCAGGGATACAGTGACGGCTGTGTGCTGCAGGGCAGAAGTGTGCCTCATACCTGACCATAGCCCTAAACCCCCAGATCCCGGGGACTGTAGTCCTCCTGTCAACGGTAGAACTGATCCCGCTCTGTGCGTTGGCCAGGGTTGAAGACGGTAAACAGTAAACCAGCAGCATTTCCAAGCTGACACATTCAGCTTTAGCACCGTTAAATTATAGGGTTGAGGTGTCTGTGCGGGTGTGAGTCACATTAGAGGAAGTGAGAGATACAATGAGAGCACCGGTGATGCCAAGGGTTTGGTTTTTTAATTATAGTGTAATTGAATTTAATTGGGTGTGTATGTGCGTCTGTGGGCGTGTGCTACGTTATACAATTGCCACACATTACATTACATTACATTAAACATTACACTGTAGTGTCCAACACTGGGGACTAACTCCTCTCAGGGTCCCTATCTCCTCCCACACACTTACAGTCAGGGTGGACTTCCGATATTGACACAGTTTTACCAAATCCCCCCCCCCCCGCTGTCCAAAGATCCCGCAGTAAAATGTCCTCCAGCTGGAGTCGGACAAAAGACGTGGTACCGTATCTTCCAGTGTTTTGTTTTTTTTTTCCTGAAACTCCCTTCTGAATTTTCTTTTCCGTGTTGACCCTGGCTGAAGGCTGACTTTGAGAGACACCGGAAAGAGCACCTGGTATTAACACCTGGTAGATACTGAAATATGGACAAAGAGAATCACAGAGAATTGACAGAAAGATACATATGTAAAAGTAAAAGAATGTAAGTCTCCACGACCTGAACCTTCCTGCAGGTGGTGAGTCCACTTGAAGGTACCAACCGCCCTAACCGGGATTCAATCTTGCCCAGGAGGTGAACCCTGGGTTCCACACCAATGACACCAAGCACCACTTTATGTAAAGTAGTACTAACAAAACACATCGACAACTCGTTCGTTTTGATCGACAGTAGATATACAGACCAGCAGAGAAACCGGACCTGAGCTGCGGTGAAACCATTGTCAAACAAACTTTCACTAACGCTGCAGTGAGGTGACAAGTTTTGTTTTTTTTCAATCATGTCACGTCAATCTTCTTCAAACGTCTGGTTTTCACAGGAGCCAAGGCTCAACATTTCTCTATCAATTCCTTTTGAAAACAAACCTGAACTCCAGCCCAGTTTTGAATCCACTGAGTTCATGCTATTCTTAGAATAAGAAAGTAAGAAAGAATGCTCTCAATGCAGTCGGCCAATGTGTTATTAAACGGAGCATGTTTTCAAAGTCGTCACATGACATCTGTCATGGGGAAAAACACACACACACCAAAGATGACAATAGACAAGCAACCAGTTTTGTCTGGGTGTTATTTGTCGGGGGCGTTTTTGACAATGTAGTGAAGAAGAAATGAACATACAGTTCTCCAGGCGACCGCCGTTCACTGGTGCTATTATTATTATTATTATTATTATTAACCAGCCATATTCCCATATGTTTTATGACCTTGTTCCTTTTACTTTATGTGTGTTGTTCATTAAGAATGAACTGCGTAAAAATGCAGGGAACACATGTTGAGTAGAACAATAAATCCAGAGAACATCGAGGCACGGGCCAAACATCGGCGCTCCAGATGTTGAACCAACAATGCTGCAGCTATCGATTTTATTTTTTAAATTAATGATTCTGTGAATTATTTTCTATTTTTAAACAGAAACACAGTCGGCAGCGGTTGTATTTTAATAAAGTTTCTAGAACTAGGGGTGTGTATTGGCAAGAATCTTGTGACTTCTCCTCTTCACCAGGCCTGTATTTTTTTTCCAACCCAGAAATGAAACAAAATATTCTGGTACTACAGGCATGACGATAAATTGATTTTTTTTTTTTTTTTTACAATTTAATTGTAGTAAAACCATCAGTAACAGGGGATCAACATTTGTAATCTTATATAAATAAATAAATAAAACATATATGTGAATTGAAATATCACAATATTTCTGTAGTATCTATAGTAATTGGTGCAGTATATCTGTATTTAACAAAGTAATTGTTTTATAATAGTCTACTGCAGCACAATGGAGTGAATTTTGAATTCCATCGACATAGTTACGTTGTTATGGACATAATCCCTTTAATATTGCTGTTCTAAACTACCACAATAGTAAATATAATTGAAGTGGCAGCGTGTTGGATTCATTACAGAGATCAAGGTGCCGTGGAGTTAGGCGGTAGTTGTTTTATTGTCTGAATAGCAGGTGTGGTTTGGGGCAGAGCCACATTGTTGTTCGTTTAGAAACGGGTGCAGGGCAAACAGGTCATCATATTGAAAAAAATCAAAGTGCATGTGTAGCATCCTCATCCAGTCAGTCATTTACTCTTGCCCTTGTCCCTGTTTCTTTTGTAATGTCCCACAGCACCTGAACAAGACGTACAACACAGACGTCCCCCTGGTCCTCATGAACTCTTTCAACACAGACGAAGATACAAAGAAGACACTGCAGAAGTACACACACCACCGTGTCAAGATACACACTTTCAACCAGAGCAGGTGAGGAGCAAATACAAAAACAAATAGAAATGAAAAACAAGTTCGTCCGTCACAGAAGATACACAATATCACAGTTTCACTGAATCAAATTCTCAAGAACCTTCTAGATGAAAAAATTCCAACATTTTTAAAAATAGAACCTTCTAGATGAAAAAATTCCAACTTTTTTTTAAAAAAAAGTAACAAAACAAATCCAAAAAAGTGAATCTAGACATTTTTGTTTACTTTTTTCATTTTAAAGATAATCCGGCGATATTTCAAAATAATTCATCTGACGCAATACAAACGAATAAAGTCTAAAATCTCTTATTTTGAAAATCCACTGAGCCTGAGAACAATATCAATTTCCGCCAGCTTCATAGCTGTATAAACAGTCAAAATGAGCGCCATTTATCGCTATCGAATGTTCTTCTCGCTTCCCCATGACGGCCCAGTGTTCCATCCAGCGTCTTATACAGATATACATCTTGTACAGAATATGGTCGGCCTCCGCTAGAGTAGGCCCATACTTGTTGCTTTATATTAGAAGGAGTTACGACCAAGGAGTTACGACACTAGCGGTCCGCGCTATGCTACTAACTGGTGGCGGCCGACGTGTCGTTGATACAAAAAATGTTGGAGCCCACCGTTCTAGAGCTGGGATAAGTTGATGGACGATAAAATTATGGGATATGATGGTAAAAGTTAATTTAGTTAAGTTAATCTGATTAATTTCACAATTTAATTATGTATTAAATCCGACAGCTCGAATCGCGATATTCACGGTCTTTTGTTGTAGTCGTTAATGGACTTCATCTTCATGCACTTGTCTTAGAGTTTTTACAGATTCACAGTTTTATTCACAGGGAGATGGCGTGAGAATGTCATGTGTTTATATTTTGTCCCTGGTTTCCAGGTGATAAATCAGCGTTATTTGACAGCCTCGCGTTTCTTTAATTTAGACACACAAAAAGTTTTGTAATCTTAGAAGTAGTGTGTCTTAAATAATAATCGTCAGCGGTGAATAATCCACGTCAGCAACCCAACCTCTGAGGAACTGATGAACAAAGAAAATATTTTTGCCCGACTGAAAAGGCATTTTTGTGAGGTCAGCCTTGGGTTTCACGATGAGAGAGATTTAAACCGGTTTAAAGGGCGTGAGCCAGCATCCTCCCAGAATAGTCAGCTTTCATAATTCTTCAGTTTGAATCAGTCATTGTGTTTCTATTGTGCAGCCCGTGATTCCTCCTTCACTGGACCGCATGCCAGCCTTTGATGTGCCAACAACTCCTCCAACACACACACACACACACATGCGCTGCTTCTGATGACGTCGTATGTGAGGTCAATGTGACAGTGATGAGTTAAACGTGGGCATTAACTCTGCCTCACCTGCTCCTTTCAAACACATCTTGAATAGAATTCCTGTCATGCGTCCTTGTAAAATAATTATTATAAAACCGAAGATCTATTTACTTTTAATTTTGTAGTTATTATGTGATTCATACACTATTAGTTGTAATTCAATACCTACTAAGTTCGTAGAGCCGGAATATCCCATTACCCTTAGCTTTATTGTAAACGCCATCGTTACAAATCAACCTCCTCGTGTCAAGCGTCTTTCCGGAAAATATTTAACTGACTTTGTGGTCAACTATTTTACAATGTGATTTTATGTATTTATTTTTTCCGTCTTCTTTCGTACAGGTACCCCCGCATTAACAAGGAGTCCCTCCTCCCCATGGCCACAAACCTGAGCACAAGCGGCCATAACACAGAGGGCTGGTACCCTCCAGGCCACGGCGACATCTACGCCAGCTTCTACAACTCCGGCCTGTTGGATCAGCTGATCAAACAGGGGAAGGAGTACATCTTTGTGTCCAACATCGACAACCTGGGGGCTACTGTCGACCTCAACATCCTGCACCACCTGACCAGCCAGCCCAACGGCAAGCGATGCGAGTTCATCATGGAGGTGACGGACAAGACGCGCGCTGATGTGAAGGTACAGTACGTCAGACCGCAAACGTTTGTAGTACACAGATGAAAAAAAAAGGCAGAGTTAATGTTTCGGGCGTGGGTTTCTAGGGTGGCACTCTGATCCAGTACGACGGAAAACTGCGACTGCTGGAAATCGCCCAGGTCCCCAAGGCACACGTGGACGAATTCAAATCAGTGTCAAAGTTCAAAATCTTCAACACCAACAACCTGTGGATCTCTCTGGCTGCAATCAAGAGGCTGCAGGAACAGAAGGCCATGGACTTGGAGATTATAGTCAACCCCAAGGTGGGTGGAAATGTACACGTGATTACCCCTGTGTGATGTTTGGATGTTTTTTCAATGTGTGCTCGGGTTTTCTCCCGTCCAGTCTCCATATATATGTATATATAAAGTAGTACACAGATTTATATATATATATATACACACATATATATATATGTATATATATATATAGTATATATACACACACACATATATATATGTATGTATATATATATGTATGTATATATATGTGGATATATGTATATATGTGTATATATATGTATGTGTGTATATATTTTATATATATAAATAGGATTATTTGATATATATATAGATATGGTTGAGGTAGATACTACTCCTTGTGCAGTCATGAAGTTTATATACACGGTTTCTCTTCACCAGCCGCAGCTCAGTCGACATTTTATTGAGCTGTTAAAAACCCATTCATGGTGCCGTGCGTTTGTAACATAGGATAAGTCCTATCAGCCCATATCTGATGAGGACTGGGTCCAGAGTCCGGACTTTGATAAGCCCTGGAAAATAATGACTAATGAATAATTTAATGCGGTATTTTCAGTTTCACAATAACGTTCGTGCGAAAAAGCAGAGCGGAGATTAAATGATCAGGACGCTGTGTTCAGGGTTCACAGATCTGCAGCAGGTGAAGTCACATTGGCAGCTGCCCATAAAATCTAAACCCAACGACTTATGCTCTGACGACAATCATATGGCTCTGACTGCCAGAGTCACTCAGCAGTAAATTTCCACTCTTATATAACCAATAACTGTGGCCTTTAGTTTGTGTGTGTGTCATTCGTGAAGTCAAAAGTCCAGCTTCCTCATCAGACCAAAGACTGTTCTCTAACACACCTGAGTAGAACAAAAACAAGGTGGTCCCTGTTGCATAACATCTGGTTGGAGTTCTAGATTACACCTGACTCGGGTATCTGTGTCAGGTCTTTGGACAGACAGACAGACAGATCGATTCACATGTTGTCACGTACATGTTTTTGTCGGCGCTGGCTCTGATTGGTTCACTGGAGACAAGGTGAACATGTGAACTGTTTTTTCCTTTGGCTCAACATTGTGTGAAATAATTCAACAAACAGGCAAACAAAGCCTCTGATTGTTTACTGTATGGGTGTGCTACCTGCCTATTCAAACAGTGGCCTGAGGGCCCGATGTGGCCCAGACCGAGCTTCATAATGGCCCAGTCTGTGGTTATTTGAAAAATGTAGAGAGAAACATTTATGATTTTTCTTCCCGATTTATTAAAAAAAAAAAAAAAATTAAAGGATTAATTTACTCTGTTTTTGTTGTTTGCTCGATCAGACCCTGGATGGTGGACAGAACGTCATCCAGCTGGAGACGGCGGTCGGAGCCGCAATCAAATGTTTCGACAACGCCCTGGGAATAAATGTACCTCGCAGCCGATTCCTGCCTGTGAAGACCACGTCAGACCTGCTGCTGGTCATGTCCAACCTGTACAGCCTGGAGGCGGGCTCTCTCACCATGAGCCCGAAGAGAGAGTTTCCTACAACGCCTCACGTCAAACTCGGCAGCTCCTTCACCAAGGTACAAAAAAATCTGGGTTTTTTTTATTTATTTTGTTTCTTGAAAAGAATATTGAAACACGTGCACATGATGAACAGGTTCAGGAGTACCTGATGCGATTCGAGAGCATTCCTGACATGTTAGAGCTGGACCACCTGACCGTGTCTGGAGATGTCACGTTTGGGAAAAACGTTTCACTCAAGGTAAACCACGTCTGACCACTCCTACAGTACCAGCTTCAACAACAGAGTTGATTTAAGGAAAATAATCCAACATAATCTGGTGTGTCAAAATGAGGTTTTTTTTAATTTTTTATTTCCGATTACAATAATCCCACCCTCACTCCCACCTGTGCCTGTCTTTACTTTGCTATCATGTATGATCCAAAAGCTACCAATAGCTGCTCATTTAGCACAGCGCTACCTGAACTGCAGTTACACGATGTAAACCAGGGGTGTCAAACATAAGGCCCGTGGGCCCGCTAGAGGGTTCAATGTGGCCTGCTTGATGAATTCTGAAAGGGAAAAAAATACACTTTTTTTTCCAAGTGATATTAAATTAAATAAGATTATTCTCTAATATACCTGAACTTATAACTAAAACCATAGACTTACTGTTAGTTATAGTTAATTATGTTGTGATTGAACAGTTCTGTCCCACTTGACATCTGACCTGGTCGTATGTGACTCCTGAAACAAAAAGGGTTCGACGGCCCTGATGTAAACAGTTAGAGGTATAGAAACGTGTTGTCATCTATAACAGTCCACTAGGGGGAGACAGTCAGTGAGGCTGTACAACTTTGGTTAGTTCACATATGAACATCATCAAGTCATGTTGAGGTAACAAAGTTGACTACCAACCCAGGTCCGTTCTTGACTCTTGACATCTTGACATCTTCTCCTGGACCTGACTCTGGATCAGTCCAGGGTCCAGTGTCCTGCCAGTTTTGACCAGCTAGGATTGGATACAGTCGCACTTTTGAACATCACGATCATCTTTGTCCTCTTCTTCTTCTTCTTCTTCGTCCTCACAGGGCACCGTCATCATCATCGCCAACCATGGAGACCGCATCGACATTCCCGCCGGCTCCATGTTGGAGAACAAGATAGTGTCCGGCAACCTGCGCATTCTGGACCACTGAGGCCTTTCTGCCCCCCCTGCCTCCCCTCACACCAATCATTATGTGATTTAGTTGGCTTTATCCCAGTCATGTGACCTTGTTTGTTTGCCTGACATCATCTGATTGTGAGATGTGTGTGTGTGTGCGTGCATGTGTGTGAGTGTGCATGTGTGTGGGCATCTGTATGTTTGTGTCATCATACAGAGGTAGTTTACAGGGTTGTTGGGAGTACATTACTGCCCCCTACAGGCTCTTTAATAATTCCATGTGTTTGTGTGTCATATAATGATATGAATGAGAGGATCCTTGGTATTGCCTTCCATCATGACCTACGATCGTGACGTAATTAACTCCAAAAAATTCAGATGTTTTTTGCCTATTTTCTAATCAAATGAAGGGGAAAAAAAGTAAAAAATATTTTAATGAACACAGGCTGCAGCAGCAGTTCAATTATGGTTCCTCCAGCTGCAACACTTCACCCTGGGGAACATGGTTCTTCAGAGCAGCAGAGAACGTAGAACCTGAGGAAACAAAGCCCCGGAACCGAGCTGAGCACCGTGGATTTACCACAACACGGTACCAGGATCGGTTCCTGCCCAGTT